GATTTCTTCCAACTTGAGCAATGTGTCAAAGACGAGGTTAAGTGCAATTGTAGAACTGGATAAAACAAAATAATGCAGTGTTCATGCTTTAGTTCTGTTAATCAAATGAGAGTAGACAGAGTTGTGTATTGATTTTCTATGTTCTTTTGCAAACCACAATATTATCGGTGTTACAGTCAATTGCAATATAATCGAGCTCAGTTTTCCAAAATAATAATCATTTGCTTCTATAATAATAATAACAATAACATTAATAATACTAATACTAATAATAATAATGGTAATAATGTTAGTCACTATTTTTATTATTATTACCATTACTATTATTATTATTATTATTAATATTGTTGTTATTGCTATTACTATTATTATTGTTAACATTAATGTTAATATTACTATTATTAAAATTATTATTATCAGCTTTATTCAATATTATCTTTTTGGTGTAATATAGAATTCTCAACATGTTTCCATTTCTTATTTCTTGATCGATCTTGACGATAAATATTGACTGATCGCCAATTTGGTGTTAGCAGTTTAGGAATAGACATCTGAATAATGTACATCCACTTCGATGTATGTTGCCAGCAACCACAATGTCTCTGATTGTGCTCTTTCCTAACTTGTACAACGAATGTCATGAACATTTCACAAACGCACCTGAATAGCTTGTGAAATGAATCAATTGACATAATGATCTGTTGAAACGAACAAAAGACAGATAACATGTTGAAATATCTAGATGTCAGGAACGGGTAGCCTAGATATTTAAGCAGGCCTCCCAGTTAATATCATTATCTCAATTACCATAGTTAGTATAGCCTTTTTAAATGTCGTTTAAGTAAAACTGTTTTTACTATTTGCTCACTTTTTAACAGATACCTGTTTTCGATGTTGAAATGGAGTAAAAATTGGGAAGATTGGAACTTTCAGAACTATTCTGTGATTCATTGTTATTTCTATATGACATGATGAAGTGTAGTATTCCAGTCAAACATTATTAATAGTATATAAAATACTCGTGAACAGTGAAAGAACAAAATTCAGAATTCCAGATTAATAATAACAATATTTTACAAAACAGAGTTTAGTGGTCCAATATCTAAGGCTAGTTAGATCGCATGATGATTATTATATAGATATACATGTTGATTTCCCTCGTGTATATTTTCATAGAATTAATTCACGTTAGAGCATAACGGAGTTAAACAAGTTAAATATGAGAATTAAGGTTCAATGAGTTTAGTTCATATACTCATTGATCTGGACGGACAATCAGCGAAATGAAGTAGCGAAAGAGAAGCGGAGAATGTCGTTGGGAGGATGTAAAGCAAACCAACACGGGAAAGTCGAGTAAGGCAACTCGATTTGACGAAGCAATACTCAATATTCATATTCAGGCATAAATGAGTTACAGACACGTATTGATCGCAGCAAGCAATTACCACATACGAACACCACATAAAAACAGTTAGGGTTAACAAGTGAGTAAATGACAAGTTCAGAATGGAACTTGAGAAGAATGAATAATTTGTCTGTGCAGAAGCTAGAATAGCCCATGTCGGTTTGAAAAAGTACCAGCCACCACAAGACCAGTCGATGATTATTCGTTAAATAACCTTCAACCAAATAAATCAAACAAGTGAATTCATAAATGCTTACTAGAAGGTGGAATATTATTCGGTGAATTTTTCACTATTTCACAAATGGTTTGTGTGTTGAGAAGAGTGGAGAGTTTAAATTTATGTGAAGTGAATGATGGGAATGCTTTATTTCGACATCATTAAGATGCTTTATTAGAAGTACGTGCGAATCACACCAAAAACGAAAAAACTCTATTTAGAATACAAACACACACACACGATGTTGAATACACCCAGAATGAAATTAACTTGTTGAATCTGAATACACAGTCATTATATCACAAGATCCTATACAATAACCAGACAAATTAGAAAATTATTCAGTAATTGACTGCAGTAGAAGTAGAAACATATCTCGCGAAACGATGCGAGTGAAAATCGTGGAAATCTCTTCATCACATCATCTAATTCATACTCAGTCTCGTCTTACACCTGGCTAACAAAGTAGATATTATCAAAATCACAATGTCAATCTGTGTAGTTCAAGATTGATGCAACTCTATTATTTTGTCGAATTTCACATTAACTTACATCTGAACACAATATGAAACAGTGAGTTGACGCCCAAATTATTAAAATTATTGACTGAGAACTCTGTTGACAAATATGTTACATGTGACTAATATCAAAATACAATGTTTTGAATATTTAATATTTTGCTTCGAAACTCGAGTAAGTAAAGATTTCAACAACAGTTGTATGTCATGAAAAACCATTCTGGAAAGAGTGAAAATCGAACGATTTACGAAATTTGCATACGGTAACAGTTTTTCACATTTTTTATCTGAAAAAACATTTTGAAATGAATTGGAAACTTTTGTTGTTATGTCAATTGAAGATTGATTGTTTTAAATGAATAATTCACAATTTGTATATTGTGCTATGTGTTTTTAGCAAATGACCATCGTTTTTCCAAAAATTTAATAACTAATCAAATTTTAAATCATTTTTTGTTTGTAATCACAAATACACGTAAATAATTATGTGTAGAGGGTTAGTACCACATACAGTGACGCAAATATATTGTTGCTCGTGAAGATAAGCGGTTGTCTAAGCTGAATTTTATAGGAAATGAATTTATCTTGAACGTCTTAAATCTCAGTATGTATATTATCACTAAGTGAAACTAGAAGGAAAATTGATTAGGGACCAACATCAAGTGAATAATAGAAATAAAGTATATGATATTCTTGTTGACCATAAATATCTATATTCCATTACATGATCACAGAAACAGTCGTGGATGAAGGCTCTTGTTCATCGCTTATAATTTAACTTATAATTACATGTATGTTACTAAGAATGTAAAAACTTTTTATGGTTAATTTTTCTCTCGTTTGAATTTTGTAATTTGAATAGCTAATATAGTATTACGTTCTTTCAGATTTCACCTTCATCTCACTAACAGCCATCTCGTAATGAGAGCCCCATATAATCACAACTAAATACCTATGAACTACAGAGGCGTAAACACGGAAACTGAATTATTTTTCGTGCGGTAATAGTCAATAAAATGCGAGATGTAAGGATACATTCGACTTGTTGACCAAATGAGGTATTTTGCGATACTTCATGCAACATTGACGAGGATCAGAACTTTACTGTATTCAATAAACATCACTTGAATTTTTCTAGGATAACAATGTTTCTGAAATTGTTCACACTGAATATTTTGTTGTAATCTAACTTTTAATCATTTTGGCTACTTTAAGAGATTATTCCTTATACTAAAATTTTGAGAAATGTTCGTTTTAACTCAATTCTTTTTTCTAGTTGATGTGCACATTTATCAATTTTTCAGATTATACACCAGACCTAACTGGTTGGTTCATATTCTGTCCATTCAGTCCCAATTCTATTTTTGAGTCATATTCTCTATTACTTATTCTATTTTGATATATTTGTTGTTCTAACTAAATGTGGTGTTTGGTGATACTTCATAGAATTTTCCATTTATTTTAAACAAAATTACAGAAATTGAAGTTTACAAAAACTGATAAAATGGAAGGAATTGTGTGAAGATAGTTACCCGAACACAAGCCTCCATGAAGTGTTTTCTTAGTTTATTTCCGGAGTGATAGATTTAGAGACATTTAAGAATCGTACAAAATTCATGTTTTTTACTTGAATTCCTATAGTCAGAGGATCGCAAAATTTGAAATGTATCTTCATCATGACTGTGATAACGGATGACTGAAATGTGGAACTGGAAAATAATAACGTTCTTCATTATTTCACTTCCTTGAACTAAACTTTTTTGTAATTGAATTTTCGCCTAACTCTCAAACCTTAAATACTCATTAGTGTTCATTGTCCTAGTAAAGAAATAGGGAAATAAAAATCTGTTGACTACTTGAGTGTCACCGTTGAAAAACTCAGGTAAAATGGGTCTAATGGCAAATTAGGTACAGCTAAAGATGAATTTTTATCTAAGATGAATTATTAACTGTGTTAAGGAGTTTGCTTACTAATTAGAATGTTTATGGCTAATATACACATTTGAATGCCACTTTTATATTTCACTGAATGCATTTATCATGCTGTCGAATCCAGATGATAAATGTACGCTAAACTTTCGAAACTCGACTAGCGCTACTTACTCCGAGTTGGCCAGTTGAACGCAAACTATTGATTAAATTGATAACGTACTTTCATCTATTTCATTATTTTATTAAACAGAATGAATAGTCGAACAATAGATAAGTGAAAGTTCATTCTAAAATTATGATAAAGTAGTTGTACGGAATGTATAGAATAAAATATATGACTCAACTCTGTACAAAGTAAAACTTCAGGAAGTCTAATGTGTTATTATATGACTACTAAGTAACTTCATTATATGTATATTTGTATTTCTTTCATTAGAAGCCCTTATTTGACCTAATGACTATTATCATACGATTTATTATTCTTGAGATATTCTCAATTCGTTAGCAACAGTCACTCACAATCACAATCGCTTTTGGGCTTAATCTTGTACAAATGTTATTTTCTATTTTATGCTGTGATGTGGTCTGATTTGTTTCTATACAAACTCAGTATGTTTGAAATATACAATTCATATCGCGGAGGCTGAGATTGGCATTCTGGACTTAACAGACAGGTCTAGGTGGAGAAAGGATCAATCGGAATTCTAAGCTGCCCGTACTAGTGTATGCGTCATCGATTTGGTCGTATAAGCCAGTGTATCTAAATTTGGCAATCGTATTTTACGAAAATCGTATAAGCTAAAGATATAACATAATGGTTAAATAACTGAAGGTAGTAATTAGTCTAGTGACATATATTTTCATGTTTAAGATTTATCTTTAGTCAAATCCATGGTGAGCACTGTTGAAAAGTCCCACAATAGGACGAAACGGCCGTCCAGTGCTTCCAGGTCCCCCATGGTGGTCTAGTTTCAGTTGACTTATGATCTCAACCAGTAAATTATTTATTTATTATAAAAAATAAACGTGGGATTTATTATTTAAAAAAAATATAAATAATAATATAAAATAAGCTGAAATAAAATAAATTAATGAATCCTAAAAAAGAATATAAACAAAATAAAAAAAAATGTTTTCTCATCTATTGAATAAAGAAATCACCATTTTTTTTTTTGTTTTTCACATGATTAAATATATAAAAATTAGATTGTGAACTTATGAAAACATTTTCATTTGAACATTGTACTGTTGATTTTGTTTCATTACTTTTTATGAATAATGAAACAAATAAATATTAGGACAGTTATTAGTAGTATTTGATGAATTATTTGATTTTTTATACCTTTGTTACAATAATTATTTTGACAGCAATGATAAGTAAGCTTGGGGTATGTTTTACTGAAATATTCAAAGTCACATCTAGGTGTACATTGTCTGATTGGGTTAAAATAATGTGGAACTTCAAGTTTCTATAATAAAAGATATAAAAAAGTAGATAGATATATGATTTTAGTTTGACAAAATTAAACAAAAGCGTACTCTTACAAACAGGTAAACGTGTTAATTCGATAATAAGATATAACCTTTGTTTTCATTCTTCTGTCAATATATTATGGAGAATCTATTAGACATTTAATGTGTTCGTTGACAATCCAAACATAATCTAATTTTTTGTCAAATTCCAGTTAAAGTATACCACTTCTCGACTTCACAGTCGAAATCCACCTACATAACTATTTACAAATACAGGAAAATGGGCATCATTAAGTGTATAGTTTTTTGTAAATATTACCAATGTGGTTGCAAAATTACTTTCGCGTATCTATTTCAAAAAAGAATATTTTAACTATAAGAAAGGGCACTGTTCATATACCATCATCCTAATCTTATTTTTAATCTCTCCTCCTAGATATTCTCCTTGTTAGCTAAAATCAGTGATAAGATGTACTTATAGAGGTTTCAAATTGTTATACTATCTCATAAACACTCAAGATACCTCAGCTGTTCACTTCTACAACTTTACAAAGCAACAAATCTCATATTTCATTAAAGTCACAAATTAAACTCAAATAGTTTTTTATCAATAAATATCACAACTACGTGTCTCACTTCTAGTCTACAAGGAATATAACATTCTCAGAAAACAATTGTATTGTAGATGACTAAATCATTTATAATAACTGGTTGTTATCTTGACGAAATGTTGTTCAAGGACTAGAAGGTTATCAAATTCATTTTTTCTAATCGTCTATCCCATAATATCACATCATAAAAAGTGTGACTATATGATTCTAGTGAATCAAATATACCCAATGGTCATAGAGATTCAATTTTATGATGCAAATTTGTGTTCATTAAGTAAATTGTTGATTAATTAATGTCAAGTGCTATTCAATTTAATATTATAAATCTCATTGTCAATCGATGTAAATCAATAATAAAAAATATTAGTATATTTGGATATCATCATGGTCTATTTTAGTATCAAATAAATCCCTTACCACAGTCTTATTGTTCTTACATGCATAGTGTAAATCATGGGTTCTAGTAGCATATCCCAGAATTTTTTGTATTAGGGATACTTGAACTTGCGTTATCTACTGCTGAATAACAGCTTTTTAACACCGATGTTGCACATCAATACTATTTATTCTCCCATTGGTTGTTTATACAGTCAAACCATAACTTTCTCACAATCGATTAATAAACATAAATATTTGTGACGCTCACTCTTACTCTCTCGCTACCCAGTGTGCTTGCCTTTTGAGAGCTTGTGAATTTTATCAATTGTTAACAATGCACTCCACCAACAACTAGTGCTCTGGCTTTTGAATATTCTCGAGTGAATTCATAGAGCTATTAGGTGAATCGACCTGGGTAAAATATTCAGTTAACGGGATATCATTTATTAGAGTCAAATAGAGAGGAATTAACCTCTACAATACTGCTAAGTAACTGTCTCGTGAGTTCTCGTTACTGAGGAGTTCCATACTAGAACAAAACAACTGTTCATTGTTTTTAAGGTTTACATAATTGTCTAACTAATCTCAGTTCGTGATATTCATTATAAAATCCAACAATCTTGACAAACTCTTCTTGTTAATAAAATTAAATTGATCAATGGGGTAAACAATCGATAGCATAGTAACATTATGCTTCGCTTTAAATAATCAGAAGGCACAAACAAAAAATTTTCATTCCAGTTAAGTTTTTGTAGATCTCAAAGGAATAATAAACTATCAACATTATGGATATAGTTAAGCAGTTATATTCTCAAAGAAATAATTTCAGAAATACAGTGAATCCAAAGCTAGCCTGTTGCACGTATTTAAGTACATACACCAGTTACAGTACAATACTTTAGGTCACATCATCGAGTTTCATTTGTACAATTGTGAATGCTTAGTATAATTCAGTAAGTGAATAGTATTCCCAAGAATGAATATTTTTTTACTGATTTCACTTACTGCACACCATTGACAATTACTATCATTGTGTACCAGTCGTGATGAAGGATCGAAAGGATCTGGACATAGTAAGCATGAATAGCAATTCAAAGACAGATCTGAATCCAGAAAAAATAAAAATAATAATTTCACCGTTAGTATGCCATGGTAACTAATAGGACAGATTATCATTCATATTGATAATTATTTGCTAAAAATGTGAACATCATTAATTTTTCGTTATTTTAATTTAAATTCTGAGCGAAAAGGAATATACCGATATTTCAATATCCTACATCACATGATGTGCTATCTCTGATCCAAATGCATGATGATAGCAAGAATTTTGTATTCAAATATAGGTAACTTTAAGTCATACCGCTGGTAAATTAGTAAGTGTAAGTATGAGGTCGTGGAGATTGTTGAAATCATCAACCAATTAAAGTTAGACAACCAATAATAACCAGAAAGCACTAGACGGCTTTTTAGTCCTAGTATGGACCAACTCAATAATGTTCATCCACAACAACGAAATCGAGAATAGAACTCAGGGCTTTCGGTCTCTCACAACCATCCAGGACGAAAACGTCTTCCAACACTTTCTAGTTTTTAATGTTTATCTAACTTAGATCGGTTGGTGATTTCAATAAAATATATAGACATTAAGATAATATTTATCGCCCTGTTATTTCTAATGAAATGTGATCAGTAGATATGTCATAAGTCTTAGTGAACTAATTAGCTGTAGCACTAAGAAGAGGTAATTCATATCTATCAGAATTAAACTGGCTTCAATATTTGATTGATCCACCATAACGTAGTAACTACTGTCTTGATTTCAAGCCTTAAACGTCGACGAAACTATGTTGGTGAAATTCGATATATGTCCACTCAGCTAATCTATTGAGCATAACGGTACCTTTTGTTTTGATAATGTATAGTTGGATGAAATCTATTCCCCAAATTTTTGTGATGTTTAGAACTTACAAACTGGTACATCCGTAAATATTAAGAAGTTGATGATTCTCAAAATATAGGAATTCTTGTGATGAAGTATTGTGGTCATAGACAGTTTGAACAGTTGTAGTCATAAATTTAGTATTTTTGGGGCAAAATCTATAAAACAATGAATATTACGACTATCTCGCAAATAGTAAGGTGATCACCAACTTAGTGTTGGTACGTTAGCATGTGTGTTAAACCTTATATTATCGTACATTAAAATACTTATGTGCGTGTTTATATGATAGGAAATGTTCAATTTAATAGTCTGAAGTGGATCAGTACCCTTATGAAGACACCTACAATCGTATTTTTGATTTTGCACTTAATCATGGTAGCAATTCTATAGGGACAGCTGAGAGAAAAGTATCACCAAGGATTTTTAAACATATTCTTCGAAAACTGTTTTAAAGAAAGTAAAAGTGTTCACAGGTGAGATCATAAAGCACGTCAAGGATATTGGATATAACAAAAGTATAACAAAAGATGTTTTTAACTAATTATTAAGAAATAAATCCAGCTTTTACTCTTCTTTACACAGTTTATTACCTTCAAGTGTGATGAAACTCTAACAGGTTTGTACAATACTTTTAATGACGTAACATTTGTTTATTTTATTTTATATTTTTATAACATTCCACTGCAATTCACTCACAATGTTAATTTTGATTTTGGCTCTCCTTAGTGGCTATATTATAAAATCATTTGTTTGTTTGAATATTTTTCAATTTTTGCTTTAATCATTATTTATGATATTACATCATTATATAACTGCGTATTCAGTATACAAATACTAATCACTTGCAGCAAATGGGTGAAATATGTTAAGTATATTTTTTCTGTATTGTTTCCAACTTTTTATGGAGTTTTGTTCTCTGAGCTGGATGGCTTGGTCGTAGAGCTTTCATCGTTCTTGTGAACGACATCATCAGCGCAAATTTTATGCAGAAGTGAAGTGTTCGGATTTCTCCAAATGTGGTTGACAGCTTGTCCTGTACACCTCGATGTTGATTGGTTCATATTGACCTTAAACCTGTCATTGTTTGCTCCCAACTTTCCAACTTCACAGTTTGCCGCTGATCTGAAGGCACGAAATATAATGAATTCCCTTAATTTAAAAAAACCTTATTCCTCTAGCTTTATTTGAACGGGTAGATACTTTGTGTTAAAGTTTCAGTAACCATCTACAGGACATTTCTCTTATTATTTTAATTTGAGCATCATATTTGACTTATTTTTACTGCAAACTTGACAAATGAAAATTGTTTCCTCCATAAATATTAGTTCTTACAGACTCCAATAATTATAATAAATTGACTTAAAGCATTCACTCAGATTTTGACATAACAAACTTCCGTAAAACAATCCATTACCAAGGCTATTTCAACCTTGTAAAGATTTCAGATTAATCTGAAATAGATATTAAAACAGCTTGAAAATAACAGAATGTTTAATGGATCACCTATAACTCATATTTGTTATGTGGCATCAGTGTTATCTGCAATGAAAAAAAATCGAACGAATGACTATCGCTCAGCCTAATACAAAATGGCCAGTATATAAATTCTGGAAATGTAATTATATCAAATAGACCTCAAACCCATATCGTTATGAAATAAAACTGCCTCTCTTGTATCTTTTAGCAAAATCCAATTTGTTCACCTATTTCAACACTTCAATTAGTGCTTTGCTTGCAATCCATATAGTATTTCGTTAATTTTATTGAGTATAAATAACATGAAACCATGTAATAATACTATTCGTCCTAAGAATTTTGATGAAATATACTCTAGTACAAATGAATAATAAAAGGTGAAAGTGGTCACAGCACACCATACATGGTATAATATAGTAAAGTTTAGAAATTGAAAATTTATTGAAAATCAATTAACAGTTTATCTTTCTTTGCAGAACTTGTTTTACCTACTTGTATTCTAAGTACACTTAATTTTCGAAAAAAATTGTAGCTTGTATTCAGTTGCTGATTAATTTTTCAGTAGTCAAATATTATGATCTATATTTTTTAGTTTACTTTATAAGTTTGGATATGTTTAATAATTAGGATTGTGATTACAAGCAAAGTGTAATTGTTCCTTAATAACGACAAATAACAAGTAGGTTACTTCATGTAAGCTAATTTTCTTAAAATATTTCATAAAAAGATTATGCTTATTTAGCCAACTTCTGAGGTACTACGGATAAAAGTATCCTTGAATTTTATAGTTCAGTCGAGCCTGAAGAATACTGATCCTTTTTTTGAACGCTTAAGTCGAATTTTAAATTATTCAAAACAAATTCGTTCAAAAAATAGTCAGGAAGGCATTATTTGTGTAGTTCGCCTTTGAACTAATAAACTATAAACCAGTTGTAGGTATCATTACCAAGGTTTGATTTGATAATTTCGAATAAATTGAGCATTGGGTAGATCATTGTTTCATAGTACTATTTAAACTTGGATTAATTTTAATCTGGTTATTGATTCTCTGAAGAAGTGGTTTACACTAAGTTACGAAACTTCAGAAAATCTAACTTTTCTACTCATTGTAACATTACAAATATATTACTTATTTATTTATACATAAGTTGGTTGCCTACTATTTTCTTTAGGCCACCCACCTACTTACTAGCTAACTAATGAAGTCTATGAATTAAATTATTTACTTCTGAGTTTTAATGCGAACCTTTCAAACAATATAATTGTAAATGGTGCTAATTCCTAATCAAAACACCTGTGATTACTACATCTCACTTTCTATTTACTCCTTGATGTAACTCTATGCATGTAAGGCATTTAGGTTATGAAGTCGAAAAAATTATAGAAGTGAAATTGCCAAAACATTCGAGAATAAATATATATTTGGTAAACAATCACTATAGTATATATATATATATATATATATATATATATATATATATATATATTGTTTGGATCTTACCAATATAAATTTCTCATTCAAACAAAATTTATTATTAAAAAGACGCTTACTCTAACCAAATATATAGTACTGAACACAGCGATTATTGGTAATTCTAATATTGAGTCGGTAATTTATAAATGTAATTAGTGTCTTATCAGATGAATGAACTGAAAAATGCCAAAACATTAAGACTATTACTTATAGAAATCACTTTATGATTCTAAAATAATGCAAAATCAAATTACCATAAAACAGATATAAAATAGCTTTCTGTATCACTAAATGTTTCAAGGTTTCAAATTTAGTGTCCATCAATTAATCAGATATTTCGAAATGAATTTGAAGAATTATTGCACCTAATAATGATGTAGTTTTATTTAACTAATAGCGGTCATAATATGTTCGTTAACCTCAGTAAATACGAAATTGAAAAATTGCTGATCATGATCTACTCAAGCTAACCAATTAATATGGATCTGACTGTTAATTATAAATAACAAGATAAATTATCGAATGACTGAAATCACTAAGCAGAATAAAATCAAAATCTGTACGTATGTATTTTAATTATATGATATATAATTGTTTTCTGTATAGTAAAACCATCATTAAATAAAATGAAACTTTAATAAATAATCTTACTGTAATTTATATTAATTATAATCAGTGAGATCACTAACAGGATTTGTGCCATATACATCATAATGATAGGAATATAATTATACTCCGACTAATAAATTCAAATGTTAAGAGTCCCAATAATTACCTACAGTATTTTAGTTAGGATTTTATGAGTCCTATATGTTATCGTTAAAGCTTAAAGTACATCTCGCTGGTTAACCAATTGAAAAGACGCGATATGTTTATTGGTGTTTGTATTCATGCTACAGATATACTGATTCAATAGACATATATTGGTAATGTTATTTAAACATTGATAATAAGATAAGTTACTAATTTAGAAATTAACCTGTATGTGTGAAGCTTAGCGGATAATTCAAATTCTCCGAGCTTTCTACTATAAAGAATTTTTTGGTTGCTGACTGTTTGTTTACACCTAGCGATGTTAGATTTACATCTAGGATTACACAGAACTATTTTAGCTATTCCACTTAATATACTGAAGAGTGGATAGATCAAATAACATTGGTAAATATTTGTGTTTTACATAGTTGCCAAAGGTCGAGCAATATTCTTCGTTAAAATGCATAATATCAATTACAGGACAGATGTCCAGAATAAAAATCTAGGTCGGTAATTGTGTGACGTATACTACTTATGTTGACAAACATAAGTAGTATGTAGCACCAATAGGAAGTAAATTGCATGCCAGCAGAAGATTAAGAAGATTGAAATGAAGAGAAAAGAGAAGAAAACTGAAAGCAATCAAAATAATAACAGGAATGAAAGGACAATGAAGATTGTAAGCGACAACTACTCGAAGATATGCAAATGATGACATGTGTGGTCTTCATATTTTATGGGAGCACAATAAATTGGTCTTCTCTACCTCAGTTCATCGTTCGTTACAATAGTGGGCTTATCTGTGCTACTAGAATAGCCGACCTCATCCAAAGTTCTAGAAGTGCCATTATGTGACTATCTAATCTATCAGACCTTGTATGGAAATCATATTATTATCTACAATGACTCGTTCTATCGTGATAGTAAATTGCTGCTGCCGAGCTCTTTTGAATAATACATTTGGACTGGGAAGAGGATAATATATATAATATGAAAAGCAAGAGATTATATGGAGTGAGCACACCTGCATAGCCGAGTCATCCCTACAGATTTAGTGTTCCCGTGTTCACCTTTTCTGACCTTCTCTGAGTGTTAAATGTTGAATGTAAATCTTCTGAGCTATCTTATACTAAGCTTTTACGATCGTGTATATAGGATCTAATACCAATATAAGTGTTCTCAAAGAAACATTGACTACGTTTAGCAAACGTTATACCGCAAATACCATTAGAACAATTTTCATGTTTTGTCTGAAATACATTTATAAAAGGCATTTAGAGCTCTGAATATCACATCTATATAAACATCTTAGTCACTCAGAAGAGTTTACTTCGCAAAGATAAATCTTTCCATTCCACAAGCTGGTCGTGCTGTTATTTGACAGGACTCATATATGCATAATTTCATTGATAAAGGAATCAACGTTTAAATAGCTGTTAAATGCCAGACTGCCAACAGAACTGAACGCTGCATGTTTGAATACAATGGTCAGAATTTTATTGTTATATTTTAAGTGCTCTCTTTTAACGAAGTTAAGCAGTTTCGTTAGACTCCTAGAATTTCATTCTGTTTTTACAATTTGTACTCACTATCTATAGTGCTCATTAAACTAATGGCTCTGATATTATCAGAAAATTACAATAACAGCATAAATGTGGAAAGTGAAATACAAAATGAAATATCAATATTAAAATAATAATCTTCGGTGCATAGGAATTGGTCTGACCTCTTAGTATGTTGCAGTAAAACAACGAACAATGATTTATTACAGTGATTTGGATAAATTTGTCTCATATAAGCCTGTTTATCCCTGCTCGATAATTTTAATAAATTGATATAACGGATGGTTTAAAATATTTTTCTCACTCTTTTAGCTATTACTACTATAATGCGTTAATACGATAATGAGGTTAGTCATGTTATATCAGATCCAGGATTCACGACCCAAAATAGAGAATCAGAGTATTAACTTGATAGTACTCTATTCAACACAATAACAAGCTGTCACTCTCAGTGAGTCCGAAGTAGAAATTAATGAGAGGAAATGAAATCACATGTGTAACAGTCCGTATGCTAAGTGCCTGTTTATCCACGTTCAGTGACCAATCATACTTTACTTTCACATCCACACAACATAAACCTACCAAACTTTAATAAATTACATCCAAGGTGCATAAAAATGGATATTTGTCAAACAATGACATCTGATAAACCAATTCTTTTACACTTTTTGACAATGAGGACTTGACATATATCTGATGGAACTTCATATGCTCATTCGAAGTGTCCTATTGAGTTTGTCAAAAAAGATATTTCAGAGTGTTAAAATGCACAATAAAAAATGATATGCTTACGCATGATTTTGCAGTTAGTCTACTGTATTCTCCAACTTAGTAACTTTTATCTTAGTTTGTAGGTAGTGTTTGTTTTCAATTGCCTGTTTGCAACACTTTAGCTTTACACTTACTTGTTTCGCAGTAGAGTTTTGGTAACGATAACGATTTTAGTGTTGTAATAAGCTCTAATACTATCAGTTGACTTCTTGTGATCTAGAATACTATTTTCTAACAATCGCTTATGGATGTTGCAGTAATTTATAGACAAGACCTTATTTACCAGGAATATGGCAAGCTGTTTGTTTAAATATGGTGTTTTTGTTATTCCTAATCCATTGATAGAATTCAAAAACATACTGTACCTTCTTTAAATTTTACTCCACTAAGTGACAGACTTGGAACAGATTTTAATATTCCGTCGAAACAGTCAGACACCCATCAAAACGCATTAACCAGCATTTTGGAAATTGACTAATTTGCATTGGTTTCTGATGTTAGGCATTTGAGCAAGTTACATAAAAATATAATGAGTAGTTACATTAACGTCATAGCTATATTCATAAATCTTTTCATTGGAGAAAAACATCGAAAATATTTGTGTTTCATATTTCTACTCATTTTTTATTTACATGTCAATTTCATGCAGTTATTGTCTATATTATATACTCACTATCACCCGACAATATGGTATGACAACGCGGAAAATCTTTCAGAAATTATTGCTAAACTTTGACAAATCACTTTTCAAACTTTTCATATATCTTATAACTACCTGACAAATGTGAAATGTTTTCGTACTCTGTGGAATTGTTATTATAACGATTAAAAATTACTCATTTTCAAACGAATTACTGCGACCGGCAATTGCTTGATCAGAACAAACTGATAATGTAAAATTGTACCTCTGATCAATCTATTTCACCAGCACGAGAAATATGGACCAGTAATTTTCAATAAATAGAATTTATAACAAAGCATATCAAGCTGATATTGTATTTAGAAATCTGTATCGGGTTGTGGAGATCGTTGGGTTTAGATTGGTATCATGAATGGATGACCACCATCGAAAACCTGGAACCACTGGACAGTTGTTTCGTCCTAGCATGGGACTCGTCAGCGGTGCGCAGTCAAGATCCTGCATGTGGGTTAAAAGTTCGTACAGCTGAGGAATCCCATACTGGGCCGAAAAGGTCATCCAGTGCTTCCAGGTTTTTAATTGCGGTCTAACATTTATGGTATCAATCTAGAAATCCTTAAAAAAATTATATTTAGAGTGTCAAGAAATATTTACGAGTGGTTCAAATAACGCGATATTGAAAGGTATTGTATTATATCTTATTTAAAAAGTATAAGATACAAAATCACTTCTCCTATAGACCACAAATCCTTCACAGTACTAGTATAATTAAATGATAATTTGTTTTCATAACGATTAGTTTTGTTTCTGACTAATTTTACAACTACCAGTACAACTCGAATATTTCGACAGTTGAATTTCGTTTTGATTTCTGCTTGTTATATTTTGTAATTACAGAATTCTCATGTTGATTAGATGATTTCAGTAGTGTGTACACAACAGTTTACTTCATAGATTTGAAGAAAAATGTAATAGATACTCTTAACTTACAAAAAATATATCGACTTAAAAATTGTAAATATACAATGCATTTTAGAACGTAGGAACGTTGATAAAAGCTAAAAGTAAGTTGTACTTATAAACTCTTAATATACATTATAGCATTTTTGGAATGTTCTAATTGTGAGAATTTTTTGGATAGTAACTATCAACTATTAAACTTATTTTGTAATTGTTACGTCCCGATGAGCATAATGAATGGTAACTTTTGGGATCCATTTATGGACGAATACTATACGCATATTTTTTCGCATAACTGTAAAATAACTAAACTATTCATATTCCTCTTATTATAAGCTTTATTTTGACCTATGAACCATTATTATACGTTTTACCATTCTTGAATTATGCCATGTCTATCAGTGAATACCTCCCATATTCACAGCTACATTTGGCCAAGTTTTGTATAAATAATGCTTTCCATTTTATGGTACGTTATGGTCTGTTTGATTGGTATATAAACTCAGTATGTTTGAAATATAATGATTCATATTGCAGAGACTTGGATTGGTGTTCTGGAGTTAACTGGCTGGGCTAGGCGGAAAACAGGACCAATCGGAACTCTAGGCTGCTCATTCGGGTTGAGGCGTCATTGATCCTATGGATAATTCACTGCTCCCTATTTGGTAGTATCAGCACTTATCTATTAACAGGGCACTCAGGTCACAAGTTATAACAGTAATCAATCATTGATAATATTCATATCTTTCACAGCATCAATCAATTCTTAAATTTATCATTATTGGTTATAAAGCTTTGTTTTAATCCTGTTGTTAACTTCCACAATCAAACTCCATAGTACACTGACTACTGTTTACGTAAAATGCATGCTCATAACCACATCAATTTCTTTTTCTCAAAGTTAGTAAAGTACCACGTCTCTAATGAACCTCTTCATATACATTGATAGTTGATGCAATCAGCATTTATTCGACCCAGTCATTGCTACAATTTCATAATATATCTACAGTTTTGGACATTTGTTGAATAACTATGAATAGATATGGACACCTATATAAATACTACTTGTAAGTAATTCACTGTCTCATTGTTTCCATATAATT